CCCGATGTGGGACTCGATCCCAGGACTGCGGGATCATGACCTGAGCCGAAGGCAGTCGCTCAACCAACTGAGCCACCCAGGCGCCCCATGACTGATTTTTCTTTTAAGATAAGCAGTCAATGTAGATTTTTTTTAAGTGCAGACAGAAATCTGAATTTTCATGTGAAATATGACAGCTAATTTACCTTTTTTAGAACAATGGGTGGGCCTCTATTTGACCAGGTCCTAAACTCTACTTGGGTTAAGCGTCCACTGTGTCTTGGCTTTTTTCACTTTTGTTGTCATATGGATGCAGTTCTTTGCACAGAGCATCCTGCCTGCCTTTCTTCCCTGTCCTGCCTCCTTCCCTCCCTCCTTCCCCCCCTCCTTCCCCCACCCCGCCCCGCTTCCATGCAACTGTTTGTAACTGAAGTAACTGATTTTCTTCCTACTGACCTTCTACAGATTTCTTTCCTGACATACTCCTCTGTTCAATACTTCCCTCTCAACATCTAGTTTTGATATGCAACTATAGACTCTCTTCCAAAATCAGTCCTACGTCTTAAAATACATCCCATTTCTTCCCCACCACCCCTTGACTCTCAGGAAGCTCGAACTAAAGAATGCATAGCTAGTAAGTGGCATAGTCAGAATTTGAACCCAGGTTTGTCTGCCTCCAAATTCTATGCTCTTTTTCCTATATTCTGACTCCTTTATGGAGGTTAAGCATACAGCTCAAGCCATACCATGTTTACTAGTATTTTTACAGGGAAAGAATAAGCAAATCTGGCCAATTGAAAACATGCAGAACACGGACCGGTGAAGTACAGTTTCAGACAAACCTGGGTTCAAATTCTGACTATGCCACTTACTGGCTGTGCATTCTTGGAGAAGTAATAAACATTTTTGTGTGTTTAAACTTCTTGAGTCTCAGTTTCCTCACCTGTAACATACGATAATAAAACCCATTTCACTTTATTATGAAGAGCATAAAATAATATAAAGTGCTTAGCACATTTCCTGGCCCACAGCTGAAGATTACAAAATACCACTAGTAATTCCCTTTGCTCACTTATTGTGCGCCTCACTTCAGAATGTGTTTCCTCTTTTTAGCCATAAAGTGGGTCAACTCATATTTACCAAATATTCATAGTGTATTTAATGCCCTCCACAGTACTTGGATATACTAAGAAAATTTGCAAGTTCTCAAGTATAAAAGTGGGTAGATGGGCAAACTAATGTAACAGAAATTCAGTTAACATAATTTAGTATATGTGCTGCCGAAGCGAGCACTCAGTTAACATAATTTATAGGTTGATTCATTTCCCCACCCAAAGTTTCCCTGCTATAAAATGACACTTTTAGAAATACACATTTCTAAAAGCCAGGGGCGCCTGGAGGGCTCAGTTGGTTAAGCGTCTGCCTTCAGCTCAGGTCATGATCCCAGGGTCCTGGGATGGAGCCCCGCATGGGGCTCCCTGCTCAGCGGAGAGTTGGCTTCTCCCTCCCTACCCCTCCCCCCTGCTTGTGCTCTCTCTCTCAAATAAGTAAAATCTTATAAAAAATAAATAGAAATACACATTTCTAAAAGTCTTCTGAAGCACAAGTTTTTAGTACTATACGAAATTTACACCATTGGTGGATAAAAAATTTGTACACGCATACATTTACACCACTGTAGCACCTCCATATGGCAAGGTCACTGCACCATCCAAGTGTCAGGCACATTTATAGCAAAGGGTTTAATCTCAGGATGGATGCCAAGGTGAAGCTCATTCATTAATTCAAAATACATGCACTGGACTTTTGTTGTCAACCAAAATGAATCTACTGAATTTACTCTCCACCTAAAATAACCAAAACACAGGACACAGTATAAACATCAGTTTTTCAAGAAACTCTGTATCAAAGGATAGCAATCCCTAAAAGATGGAAAAGAAATGTGGTGAGCCCTGCGATTGCCTAGCTCGCTGCCTTGAAAGAGTTTCAAGGAAAACATGGGCAGAGACCAGCAGACTCCTTAAGTTAAGCAGAAGAAGTTAAGAGCCCAAGGCAGTTAGAGTCCACAGACAGAGTACTGGAAAGAGCTTCAGAGAGAGGGGGAACTCTAAAGAGTTCTTGGGCCCTCCTCCAGTATTTAGCACAATACTGATCAGCACATAAATGTAAGGAAAGCACCCAAAAGTTTAGAGGAACTGTACACAATACCCACACAGGGCTCGGGATAGTGCCTGTATATATCTCTTGTTGGTTCTGCTTCTCTGTTGAACACGTGCAAATATACGGAAAGGAATTTGTTCTAGGGAATTGGCTTATGTAATTGTGAGGGATCGTTAAACAGCTTCTGAAAGACTGTACCTCTGTATCTGATACAGAGTCCAGTGGGAAGGGAAGGGAAGGAAGAGAAGATCCAAGCAAGCTGGAACCCTACATGCATAAGCTGGAAACTCAAGGTTGGACTGAAATTCATGCTCTTTCTTATGGCCTCTGTGCAACGGTATACAGCAGAGGCGGAACCTTGTGTCCCACCCAGCAGGGGGTTAGGTGTATCAGTTTGGGTCCTCTGAGAGGCAGACATCAAGATGGGTTTAGATGTGCAGGAGATTTATTGGTGGAACACCTGTGGGCGAAAGAGGAAGGAGTCAGAGAAGGTGACCCTGTGAAGGAGAGAGGGAAGAAGGGGTGAATAAGAAGAGTCTTGGATCTCAGCCCAAGGCTAGGAAAGTTCAGCCAGGCCCATGGAGAGTCCATGATGAAAGTCATCCATCAGTTGAGTCCCTCATCTGGAGAACGGGCCTGCGCTGCAGTGGCTGGGGCTGTTGATCAATTATGCTCGCCGAAGCAGGAAATCTGAGGGGCGCATTCTCACCCACCCGCCACAGCCGGATGGATGAGGACCCGAGGTTCTAACCAGAGAGCACGTTTTCATAACTAGCAGACAGAAAAAACAGCTGCGTAAAACCCACCATTGTCTTCGCGGTAGGCAAACTGCTGGGGATGCTGTCCACTACATCACAGTGTCCCCTTTATGAGGGCCCAAGAAAAACAGCTCCTGTGGCTCAGGGCCAGGCAAAGTCATTCCTCCTGCGCAACCGGTATGTTTTCATCCTGTAGCTATACAAATTTTCCCGCTGGTTTTCTCTTTGTTTTAACCATTAGGAAATTAAGATCCAGACCTGGGGTCTAACTCTAACTTTGGGGCTTTCATTTTTCAACTCTTCTACCTTTTTTCTATTCTTTCCGGCTTCTTTTAGTCAATACTACTCTTCTCTACAAGTGATCTATACTCCTTTCTGAAATAAGGCAGGAAATAATCACCTTCGACTAGGCTAGTACCTACTAGAACCAAAAAGACTAGATTTTAAATGCTTCAGTTTATTCCTTTTTTATAACAAAATTTAGCATTTCCCCATTAGGAATATTGGCAACACCACAGTGGTGTTAGATGAACCTGCCACTTTGCACTAATAGAACAGGTATTTTCATATTACATTTCTTTTTTGTTTTAAAGATTTTATTTATTTATTTGAGAGAGAGAGAATGAGATAGAGAGCATGAGACGGGGGAGGGTCAGAGGGAGAAGCAGACTCCCTGCTGAGCAGGGAGCCCGATGTGGGACTCGATCCCGGGACTCCAGGATCATGACCTGAGCCGAAGGCAGTCGCTTAACCAACTGAGCCACCCAGGCGCCCCTCATATTACATTTCTGATGTCACAAGTCTCTCAAAATATCTTTCATCACCTTTTTGAAATTCTAGTACTTGTTAGACCTGCTACTAGATCTTGTTAGTTAATGCATTAGCAAAGAAACAATACTGTGTCATCAACGTATTGTTCTTAATTTCAATATGAGTAGTTTGCTTTGTAATCCTCCATGTTTTGTTATGCACTTAAAGCCTTATGCTGAGAAGGGGTCCATAGGGTTCACAGGACTGCCATGGCACACAAATAAAGAATTCCTAAACTTGAGTCTCTCTCTTTCCTTCCAGAAAGCCAACCAAGTTTGACAATTGAGCACCTGCCTGGGTGAGCCCACTCCCAAAGTCTCAGGTTTGTTTTCTGTGTGTAGCTCTCTCGATAAGATGTTACAGCCCTGGTACCTGACTCTGTATCAGTTAACCTATTTGCTGAGCTCAACTTCCAATTTATGTCTGGCACCTATCCTGTTCAAGGTTCTGTGTCCAAGTTGACAGGCTGGTTTTTTGGTATGTTCGGATGACACATACTGGCCCCCGCTGGATGTCGGGCCCCTGGTGAAGCTGGGCAGTGATTCTGCGGTGTGTCCCCAGACCAGTAGCATCTGCATCTCCTGGCAGCTTGTTAGATTTGCCAATTGTCGGTCGCACCGCAGACCTGAAACAGAAGCTCCGAGGTTCATCAATCCGTGTTTTATCAAGCCCTCCGGGAGATGCACGCTGGAGTTTGAGAACCACCGCGCTAGGGAATCGGAGAGCAGACCAACCCGGGGCGGGGGTTGGGGGTGGTCAAGGGGCTCTCTCACCTCCAACCTCCGTGGGGACTAACGCGGCTCCCGCCACGGGGGCCAGGGGCCGGGGTCAGAGTGGGTGGGGGGGGACGGTTTGCGATGCAGGAGGTGATGAGCGGCGGCTGACGAGTCGAAAGCCAGGGCTAGGGAACTTGTTTTGCTTCTGCACCCCGGTTTTACTTATATTACCCCAAGCCTCGACGGTGACTAACGAAGAATGTCCCCCCATACTGACCCCTTGGCGCCGCCGCTGTTTGGCGAGAGAAAGGGAGTCAGGGAGAGCGCCCGAGCGCGGGGAGTGCACAGCCCCCAAAACCCGCCGGCTCTGCCCCGACGGTCCCGCAGCCCCCTGAATCCTTCCCCACCCGGCCACCCGCGCCGGAGGGCGTGCTCCCTGCCGGGAATTGCGGTCCCAGAAGCCCGCCGGCCCCGGGTTGGAGGGGCTCTGCCGCCTCCAGAAAACTACAAGCCCCAGGATGCCCGGCGCGGGTGGGTCACGAGGGAGGGGCGGCGGGCGCGGCTAAATAGCCTCCATCGGCCATTTTGTGGGAGAAGCCACAGCGCCGCCTCTTCTCTCGCGTCCTGGTCTCCGTGGCCGCCGCCTCTTCCTCCGCCTCCTCCTTCGCCTCTTCCTGCCTCCTCCCGGCTTCCGCCGCCGCCACTCCAGCCGAATCCCAGCCCCAGGGCGAAGCGTCTCCTTATTTATTTACGTTTTCTCGCCACTGCAGCCTCCAGACACGGTGATCCGGGCGGGCCCCGCAGGAATTTTATCCCCTCACCGGCCTCACACTAGTATCGCATGTCCACTATCCAGAACCTCCAATCTTTCGGTAAGATCCGGCCGCCACCGCCGCCGCCCCCTGCCCCCGCGCGCCTCCCGGCCGGCCGCCCCCACCCGCTCTCGCCGGGGCCGCTGGCCGGCCTGCAGCCCCGAGGGGCCCCCCTGCTGCCCTCCCCGCACCCCGAGTGGGGCTTTGTCTCGGCGCCCAGAAAATGGCGACTGGGCCCCTGGCGACCCCCTCCCCGAGGACGGCCGCGGGCCCCGCTCCCTTCCCGCGGAGCCCCCTGCCCGGTCCCTGCCCCGGCTCCCGCCTCGCCTGAGCCGCCGCAGCCTCTGCGAGCCCGGCCCGCCGCTCCTGGACCTGCCCTTCTCCTCGCGAGGGGATGCCGGGCCGGGGGCTGGGGATCTGCGTCCATTGGTGGTCGGAGCGGATTCGGAGCAGCTCTTGGGGGCATTTAGTTAAAGAAGCGGATCCGGGCCTCTGATCTGTCACAGGGCTGCGGTCCAGCTTCTCTATTTGCGTAGTAATTTGTAAAATTACGCCTCTTGACAGATGCGTATATGTGCGTATGTGTATATGTAGGTATCTTCTTTTTTACTTGTTAAGGGCACCGTTACGGTTAAATGATTGGGGTGGACACGTTTGAATGTTTCTGTTGTCATCACAATGTAATCGAGATGACGCACATTTTTATAGTAGCTATAAAATTACAGTTTTTAAAACCACTTTTCTCATTAGAGGACTGCATTCAGTGATACCAATCTACCTGTAACAACGTTTTCTATTCAGTGTCCGTGGACGTAGCTGTTTATATTTTTCCTCTTTTTGTGAGAGTACCTTGGTGGTTTTGTTAACACCCCACCCCCATTACCCCCTCCCATCCCCACCCGCAAAAATAGCAGAGGCACTAGAACCTTCTTTACTGTCTAGATTGTAGTGTGCCCTACATCTGGAAATTACTTACTAAAAGATGTTTTTCTGCTTTGGAATATTTTTTTGTATCCCTTTGCAGACCCCTTTGCTGATGCAACTAAGGGTGACGACTTACTCCCGGCAGGGACTGAGGATTACATTCATATAAGAATCCAGCAACGGAACGGCAGAAAGACACTGACTACTGTCCAGGGCATTGCAGATGATTATGACAAAAAGAAACTTGTGAAAGCTTTCAAAAAGGTAAAGATGTTGGGAAGAAAAGATTAAACTATAGTTATTTGATGCACTTCTGAATAGGACACCTTTACTTGATTGACTCTTAATTAGTGTGGGTAAAAATTGTTGGACCCAAGAAAGCTGTGTTCATTCTCTTAACACCCAGATATTTGTGTTGTCTCCCATTTTAAAATAATATTTTCATGGCTTTCAAACAAAATGTGAAATACTCTGTTCTTGATGTTCCAAGTAGAATCATCTCCGTTATGTTTCCTGCTGATTCATTTACAGATTAATTTGGTAGCATTGGGGATTACAGGAGACAAAACCTGTTTCTTAAACATGATCAGGTCTACTGAAATAGTCAATATTAGTCTTACGGTGAAAATAAAATCTCATTGTATCTGACTTTGGTTATGTTAAACATATTCTTCTCCAGAAATTCGCCTGTAATGGTACTGTGATTGAACATCCTGAATACGGAGAGGTTATTCAGCTTCAAGGTGACCAAAGAAAAAACATTTGCCAATTTCTCTTGGAGGTGAGTGCTTGGGTGCTTTATGTACAACCTTGAGATTGCTTCCAAAATTGTGTTCAAGGGCAGCATGAATTACTTCCTTCTTAGTGAAAAAAAAAAAAAATCATATGAATGAGGTAAATTGGTAAATTGAGAGAGAAATACAAAGTTGGTACTTATTTTGAAGTCAGTAGAACCTTTATTCATTTATGTTGTCATTCAAGTGACCTGATCATTCCTCTGTCTACATGGCCAGTTGAGTTTTGGGGCATGTCAAGGTATTTTAAGTGTGTGTGGAATTGTTTAGTGTTAACAGTTAACACCACAAGTAACAGTGTTGCCATAGACTATTAACAATGATTCTTTTTATAGTCAGTGCTCCATGTTTTCTTAAGGGATGAAACATACATTTCTCAGAGTGATTCTGTTAAATTTTGTTTTGCAGGTTGGCATTGTCAAGGAGGAACAGCTTAAGGTTCATGGATTCTAAAATGAACCTAAATACGTGGAGAATTTCTTGAATAATTTTGTTCTCTAAACCCAGTTTGGCTGCCTTGTGAAATGATTCTCTGCAGTAAACGGACTTTTCATGTATTTAATCATTCAGACTCCCATTCACACCTGCATGATTACAGAAAACATGGGGTATGTAGGCTAGTAACACATAAGAAAATTGCAGTAAGATGGTAATGAAATCCCATATTCATCTTAACATGTTTCCAATGGAAAATATTTTGTTTTGAGTGTTTATTTGTTTATTCAGTTTATTATTTTTCACTTGATTAAATGTTTTTTTGTTGTATTAAACCATGTATGTTGCAGCTTAACAATAAAGAAACATCTATGAATCCTTTTGTGAGCAATTAGGCTCCCAAATCTAAGCAAGTAAATACCCATATTTTGTCTTTCATAGTTGGAGTTCTCCTTCTGCAAGTTTTTTTGTTTGTTTGTTTTGTTTTTTTTTTAATTAAGCGGCGCCTGGGTGGCTCAGTTGGTTAAGCGTCCAACTCTTGATTTCAGCTCAGGTCATGGCAAGTATTCTTTCTAATTAGTTTTTACCTACTGTTAAACCCAAAGCTGGAGGGGAATGTTTGTTATATAACTTGTATTCTTCATTTACTGACTTAAAGATAAGAATAGGAACAGGAGTATAAGCTCTCCAAGAGCCAAGATTTATCAGACTGTAGTGTTAAATTTTCAAAGAGAATATGAAGTATAGTTTAAATTCAGAAGTGTTAGCACATGGAATTCTTTTATGTGTTTTTATTGATGATGTTCCTGGGCTGCCAACATAAATCTGTCCTTAAGTGCCAGGTAATACAGTAGGCTCCTGACAGACAATAAATTCAGTCACAGGCACTGTCCAGCAAGTGTTGGTGGGTGGGATCACTGTCTAACAGATGGAAGACGGAGGTGCAGAGATTAATTTACCTAGAGTGCCAGGAAGTGACTGAATTAGGGTGCCAGCTCAGGGCTTCCAGGCCAGAAAACTCATGTTCTTTCACTACATCATGGTTCTGGTATGTGTTTCACCAAAGGAAATGAGGACCATGGGTGACCATGCGTGCGGGTTGGGGCAGCTCTTACAAGATTTCTGCAGCTCATCTTGAGTTCCACGCTTCTGCTTTTTATTGAGTAGTAATAATTTGCTCCATTATACAAGCTGTCATTAAATCCATTTCACCAAGATGAAGAAATGGATCCATAAGTGCCTACTCCAGCTTAATGTGGTGGAATAATAATGTGAGAAATGTCTCACTTGGGCCACTCTATTCTGTACCAGCTGAACCCTTGCCCCTGTTTTGATGATACTGCTTTTGGAAAAGCAAAATCGGCCTCCATAGTTTACCTCTTAAAGACACTAAAGCAATAGGTTTTGTTACTTTCTCACCCCATGCTACTCCAAGAAAGACTGGCACTGTCAAGTGAGTGTACTGGAATATAGCGCTAAATTTGAGAGGCTCATTTCTAAAAAAATTTGACGAAGAAGATCAAACAGTTTAGGAGCATTTTCCAACTTGAGAAATTCTCATTTTTCTGCCTGTAACATTTTGTAACAATTCCACCTCTAGTTGAGAGGTGCCATGGAAGTAGTTTATGAAAATGATAAAGCAGAGACCTAAGTTAACGTATGTTCAAGAGTTGCCTCTTCATTGTAATGTTTTAAAGTAGATAAGAGAGCCAAGCTAGTGCCCAGGAAAAACTGATCATTTAGAACTGAGCGAAGAAGGTGGAGGGAAGAGAGCTTCTAAGAAAGGCCGCCTGATCTTGGCACCCATTGATGAGCTCTCCATCCTCAATGTGTCGGGCCACTCCCACTGGCTGAATCAAAAGCCTTGAGCAAAACGATTTCTTTGAGGAGCACCTCTCTTGATCTCCCTTCAGCCGGTGAGCCCCAGACACCTGATTGGACTTCTCACCTGTAGGGCAGTCCCTATCCTTAGAAGAACAGATCAAGTATCCTTTTCTTTCTTGTGTTTGCAACGCAATGGAAATAAAGGACATAATTAAGATCTGTGGATTTCTGCAATCTTCCTGAAGCTTCCTCAAAGGAGCTTAGAATACATACCACTCTCATGTGGGAAAGTTCTCTGACTGGCAGCCTCGGCGGTACCTAAGAGCACAGGAGCAGGGCTAACTGCTCTTGTCTGCTTCAGGGGCAAAAGGGACTAGGCAGCATTGTATAACTGAGGAGGGAAAACAGATTACGTCTTAAATGCAGCAAAAATAACTAGCTGAGGGGCGTCCCTCCTTGTGCTCCCCATGTGGGAATATTTAGATCTGCAGTTTCTTTAATGGTCTGTACTTCAGGATGCAAAGTGAAAAATAGTGAATAGAGGACAAGTAAATTTGTCCCTAACCTTCTAGACTTGGCAGAGGTCTCGGCGAAGCCATTAGGAAATGAACCTTTGGTTGAGGCACAGCCTGGAGTAAAGTGCTACTAGAGGGACGTCCTCTGCCCTTCAGTCTCCAACCCCCTGAGGCAGAGAGTAGCCCGGGGAAGCAGCCTGCTCTACATACTTAGGAATTCAAGTAATAGCTGTTCTCAACCATCCTAGAAAGAGGGCAGCTGGAGCATGGAAGGAACAGTCCTAGTCCCAATCAGATGACAGTTAACAAAAATGACAAATAGAAAATGCAAACGGACTTCCGTGTGCCACCTGTCACCGGCAGGGCTCCAGCTAAAGGAATGGGTAGTTACAGCTCACGAAAAACGAACCTCATCAGATTGCCCACAACCTCATTAGATTGTTCCACTGGGCCTCTTGAGGATTCCCCTTACTGAGCCAGAATTCCTTGTGGGAAGGAAACAAGGGAGGCGTGGCCCTGCTGTAACTAAAACCAAGGGAATCGTCATTTGCTGTAGATTGCTACCAGCTGCCCTTACTTGACAGGCGACAGCCAGGCCACATGGTGCTTGTCTGGGATCAAGGGGCCAAGTGAATCAGCTAGACTTAAGCAGGAGCAAAACCACATAAGGGACCCTCAGCATTGACAGCTCCGTCACATGGCTATGCTGGCATTTTAACTCCATTTTTTTCTTGATAATGGAAACTTGGAAAAAGTAAAGCTAATCAGAGGAATGGCTGTATTACTTCACTCCTGGAGAATCATTCAGAGTGGAATTGTTGCCAGAAAGAGGAGGGAATTTCAAACTGCCCTCGGACAATCCTAATCCAGGCACTTCTGTGTTCAATGACGTGTGGCCTGTGGGGAGTCTCTGACCTATACAGAGAACTGAAATGGCCATTTAAAGTCAGCCTGGGCTGTGAGGACACCCATGTGGGTCACCTCTTAGCTCATCTGTCTGATTTTGAACCTAGCAGGGGAGCAGTAGATCTGCCAAGGGTCTGTAGCTCCGTTCCCAATGAATAGAGGGCATGATTAGAATTATGGTTGGTGCTTTCATCTCAAAAGAAAGAACAACCTACAGACTTTTTTCATGCAAAAAGCAGTTAGATAGGTACCGTTCGTTGAAGGCACAAAAGGGGACTAAAGTTCAAAGCCAAAATACCCCACAGGGACTCTAAGTGATCTCAGCCCCCAAACTGGGCTTCAGGCTGAAGCTCTCTGCTCCAGCCTGGAGGGTTTTGAACGAACTCTGAGCCTCCAGAATGGTCTAAAAGGAGGCTAGCTATAACCTGCAGGTTTGTCTCCATGTGTCCTTCACCCATTCTTGCCAGGACCCCAGGCCCACCTCCTGAGTCCTTCGGGCAAGGGACAGCATACAATATGGCAATGGGTACAGAATCAGAAAGTACTTTAATCCATGTAAACCATGACAAATTCTGCAGAGAAGACCTCAAGGATTTGGAGAGTAGTATAATTTTTTGAAGTGAAAAAAAGGCCCACCTGCTCCCTGGTCAAGAACTGAGTGCACTCTGAGCACTTTATCGCCACTGACGTGTTAAAAACACAGGAAACGTTAGCCCGATATTCAGACTGGACTACAGGAACCACTGGTGACCTACTTGGTAGACCAGGATTGTTGAAATAAAACAACATAGTGTGCCCGGGAAATTGTGCTATTAAAAAGTAGGGAATTGCACTGGGTGTTATACCCAAACAACGAATCATGGAACACTGCATCAAAAACTAATGATGTAATGTATGGTGATTAACATAACAGAATAAAAAGAAAAAAAAAAAGAAATAGATGGTTCCAAAAACAAAACAAAACAAAAAAACGCAGGAAATTAAAGGGGGGGGGGGGGGGGAGGGGAGGGGATTGATTAGAGCAAGTGTGTAGTCCTTTGACACCCCCTTGTGGCCACTTAAAAACTTGCTCACTCCTGGCAGTTCAATGTAGATTACTGAAGTTTCGGCTGTTGGGGGCATCATTAAAGCACCAGCTGACAAGTTTGATTTTGCCATCCCTCAAATGGTAGGCAGAAATTGATCCAGCCAATCCTTTATCATTACCAGCCATAAACATCTATTGCGATTTGCTTTTCCATGGGAGAGACAAGAAAATGCTTCTGTAGTCTTGCCCAGGGGATATATAAAGCTGCCTCCCCCACTATCTACCACAGTGTTATTAGGAGGAATTTAACTCAAATGTAAACAGAGACATCTGTTTATGGCCTCCAGAGGATGGGTGATTAAACTAGAAAGAAGGCTCCTCCTCAATTGTCATCTGTTGAGGAACACAATCTAGAGCTTTACGCATACACAGAGAACCTAAATATGTAGGGCTCTCGATCTAAACCTCTGTCAAAGGTTAGTGTGCCTTCTTTGGCTACTTGGGGCATCACCTGAAGATTGGCGATTTTTATCTGGGAAAAGTAATGACTGGATTCCCCAGAAGCTCATCAGGCCAACAATACACGATGCTCCTTTAGACCCAGAACAGGACCCACTTGCAGACCCTCACCTTCACAAGTAGGGGAGGCCTAACGGTAGCTCAGGGCAACCTCGAAATTGTACTGAAGGGAATTGACTCTACACAATCAGCGTCAGCCTCATGAGATGGGCCCCTGACCAGGGAATCCCTGCTCAGGGGAGGTATTACCAGAAAATGTACTATCTCTCCAACAGATCCTTTGAAATTTCCACATTTTTACCAAGCATTGCCCCTCATTCCCTCACTTCCCTTATAATAAAAGTAAAAATGGTTAACCTCTTTCAAACGCTTGCAGTCTACAGCTCTGAGTGTTCTTCATGTATCTGCTCAGGTAATACAGACTTCGTGACCCAGCATGGATTCCCTGGCCTACTATCACAATTGTCTCCTTGCAAATACCCTCACCTCCTTTGGTCCTCTCTGCACTCATTTGTCAAGAGGTCAACCCTTGTCAAACTCAACCACTGACTCCATGCCCGCACAGAGCAGCAGGAAGTAGCTGGAGAGAAATGGGGGTTTCTCCCTTTCCCTCCATCCTGCACAGCCGAAGGCTTTACATCACCCAT